CAGCTCATCTGGTCCCAAAAATCATTCGTCTCCATTCACTTCTATCTAACACGCTCACGCAAGCAAAACCTCCTTTACCCCTTCCCTCCAACGTTTTCAGGGGTGACCCGAATCCCGCCTTCCTTCTCCAACAGATTTATACGCTCTCCAAGTCATTCTACTTTGTTCCATTCTCTCTAAATGACCAAACCACCTCAACAGCCTCTCTTCAGCCCTCTTACTAATACTTTTAGTAACTCCATACCTCCTCCTAATTTCCACACTATGAATTCTCTGCATAATATTTACACCACACATTGCCCTTAGACACGACATCTCCAATGCCTCCAGCCGCATTTACAACCCAGGCTTCACACTCACATAAGAGTGTTGATACTACTATACTCAGTACATTCCATTCTTTGCCTCTATGGATAATGTTCTTTGTCTCCACAGATACCTCAACACACCATTCACCTTGTTTCCTTATCAATTCTATAGTTTACCTCACCCTTCATAAACCCATCCACTGACAAGTCAGCTCAAAAATACCTGAAAACATTCACTTCGTCCATACTCCCTCCCTCCAGTGTGCTGTCCAATTTTTCTTTATCTAAATCATTTGATACCCTCATCGCCTTACTCTTATCTATATTCACTTTCAACTTTCTTCGTTTACCCACCCTCCCAAATTCATCCACTAACCTTTGCAACTTTTCTTTAGAATCCCCCAAAAGCACAGTATCATAAGCAAAAAGTAACTGTGTCAACTCCTATTTTGTATTTGATTCCCCATAATTTAATCCCACCCCTTTCCCCAACACCCTAGCATTTACTTCTTTTACAACCCCATCTATAAATATGTTAAACAACCATGGTGACGTTACACATCCCTGTCTAAGACCTACTTTTACTGAGAAGTAATCTCCGTCTCTCCAACACATCCTAACCTGAGCCTCACTATCCTCGTAAAAACTCTTTACAGCATTTAGTAACTTAACACTTATTCCATACACTTGCAACATCTGCCACATTGCTCCCCTATCCACTCTGTCATATGCCTTTTCTAAATCCATAACTGCAGTGAAAACTTCCCTACCTTTATCTAAATACTGTTCACACACATGCTTCAATGTAAGCACCTGATCTACACATCCCCTACCCATTCTAAAGCCTCCTTGCTCATCTGCAGTTCTGCTCTCTGTCTTCTAATTCTTTCAATAATAACCCTACCATACACTGTACCTGACATACTCAATAAATTTATTCCCCTATAATTTTTACAATCTCTTTTGTCCCCCTTCCCTTGATATAAAGGAATTATATATGCTCTCTGCCAATCCCTAGGTATATTCCCCTCTTTCATACATTTATTAACCCTTTCAGGGTCCAGTGGCCAAATTTCAAAGTGCACACCAGGGTCCAAGAATTTTCAAAAAAAAATTTTGTTATTTTTTCTTATGAAATGGAAAACATGAAATTATGCTTTCGCGAATTTTGACGTGTCAGCGATATTTACGAATCTGCAATTTTGCCTACTTTGACTCCCATTTTAGGCCAATTACATTATTCCAGTTGACCAAATTCTTAGCTATTTCACTAGTATTACTTCTATTCTATCGATTGAGCACAAGAAATCGCCAAGTCAACTGTTTCAACTACAAAAAGTGATCAGAAATTGGTAATTTGGCTAATTTAACACAATGCTCAAAATAATCCAATTTCAAAATAGGGTCCAGAATAAACAGTGTAGGTATTCCTGGCACTAAACTAACATTTCCTCTGTTCATTAGTTATGTTTTGAGGCTTTACAAATGAATTTCATTTTTATTTTTTATTCACGTAATGAATTTTTATTCAAACCAAAAAATAGAAGATTTACTGTTATGCAATATTGTAATAATTGTATAAATATCATCAACACATTTGTGAATGTATATTAGACCCACCAGCTGGTGTGTATTAGACGTGCGAGGTTGTTTACTCTTGAACATTGGCAAAAATTTAACATTTCCGCTACTTTGAGCTCAGTTTCAAGCCATTTCCAGTGCTAAAACCAATCAAAATCATCTCTATTTCTGCAATATGTCTTCCATTCTATCAAATGAGACCAAGAAATCGCAAATACAGCTATAAAAAACATACAAAAAAACACTGCAGTCGCTGTTTTAATTGAAAATCACGGTCTCAGTTTTTTTTCTCTCATTATACACTGTGTGCTGCAGGATTTGTTTTATGTGGTGCACACATACCACATAGATGTATTCTCTCATATCTTGGCCCAAATTTACCACTCACAGCTTATCAGAGTGAGCTGAGCTCATGGCGTAGATCTACGATTTGGACCCTGAACGTAAAGCCGTAGATCTACGGCACGGACCCTGGAAGGGTTAAACAAAAATACCAACCACTCCAACACTATATCTCCCTCTGGTTTTAACATTTATGCCATAATCCCATCAGTTTCAGCTGCTTTACCCCCTTTCATTCTGTGTAATGCCTCACACACCTCCTCCACACTCACATCCTATTCTTCTTCACTCCTGAAAGATGTTATACCTCTCTGGCCAGTGCATGAAATTACTGCCTCCCTTTCTTCATTGACATTTAAAACTTCCTCTCCACCTAATACCTCCAGCTCTCCATCTACTAACTCCCCTACTCTGTTTTTAACTGAAAATCCATTTGTTCCCTAGACTTTCTTAACTTGTTTATTTCACTTCAAAATTTTTTCTTATTTTCAGCAAAATGTGGGGCAAATTCTCTGTCCCACATTCTAATACAGCCTCTCCTCACTTAGCGACGTACTCATTTACCAACGACTCGGACTTACAACAGGCTCTCTGACTAGTAGGCATACCTAAATAATGTGTATTAGAGCTGACTTACTATATTCTGTTTATTACAGTATACAGTACACTGCTGTATAAAAATTTAAAAATATACCAGAAATGTTATAAATGGTGCAAAGGTGTCATTAAAACATTATTAATTAAAGATGGCTGACACAATTCCATTGCCATTATAGTATGGCCCTCACTTATTGATGAATTTGTTTACTGACGTGGTCTTAGGAACGGAACTCCATCGTTAAGTGAGGAGAGGCTGTACTACATTTTTAAAACTATCCCATCCCTCTTCAACCCTGCCATTATCCATACTTGCACTAGCCGATCTTTCTGCCAATAGTTGCTTATATCTCACCCTAACTTCCTCCTCCCTTAGTTTATAAACTTTCACCTCTCTTACTTAGTGTTGTCATTTACCTTTTGTCCCATCTACCTCTTACTCTAACTGTAGCTACAACTACGTAATGATCCGATATATCCGTTGCCCGTCTATAAACACGTAAATTCTGAAGCCTACCCATCAACATGTTATTATTATCATCATTATCAATATGGCATCTTCAAGACTAATAAGACACTCGTAGTGATTTTAATGTGCACCTGCACGCCAGCACAGTAAATTTATTTAGGTACAGGTACACATTAGTATAATTATCAGAGTACAGCCTCTCCTCACTCAGCAACGTACTTGTTTACCGACGCCTCGGACTTACGACGGGCTCTCTGACGAGTATTCATACCTAAATAATGTATATTAGAGCTGATTTCCTCTATTCTGTTTATTTCAATACAGTATACGTACAATACACTACTGTATAAACATTTAAAAATATTCCAGAAATGTTATAAATGGTGCAAAGGTGACATTAAAACAATATCAAAGATGGTTGACACAAACCCACTACCATTATAGTATGCTCCTCACTTAGCAACGAATTTGTTTACCAACGTGGTCTTAAGAACAGATCTCCGTCATTAAGTGAGGAGAGGCTGTATATATATAAAATACGAAATAACTTTCAAACACCTGAAATTTTGTAAAGTTTCCAGACATAATGGAGAGTTGTGCTCACAGAGAATGTAAACAAACCAGGTGGCGCAAGGTGACCGTGTTAGAAAGTCAGGTGGGGAGAGCTGTATATTGAGTTTTGGTCATAATTTGAAATGTTCGTATTAGTGAAACGCCATAAAGCAGGGCCCCACTATATATTTTCCATTCTATCAGATGAGACAAAGAGACTGAGAATACAACAAAAACCATACAAAAACACACTACAAAATTGCTTTTTTTTTTAAACCAAAAACATGGTTGCAGCTTTTTCCCCATTATGCACTGCTTGCTGCAAAAAATTTTTATGTGTGCACATTTACCGCATAGACCCATTCTCTTATATCTAGGCCCAACTTTATTGCTCGCAGCTTATCTAGTGAGCTGAGCTTATGGCATAGTACAGTACTACGGGACTGACACTGGCTTCAAAGCCATAGAACAACGGGACCCACACCAAAGAAAGATGAGGATGGGTGCAGTTCATGTCTGCTCTCTCAATTTGTATATAAATATTGTCTCAGCAAGCTCACATTTGAGCACAGTAAGTTTATTTAGGCACAGGTACACATAAGTACAATTATCATACATAGTGTAAATTACCCAGGATAACCCCCCAAAAAAGTCAGACTAAGTGACTTATTGATTGGTTGGTATGCAGGAATCAACTAATTTAATCACAGACATATATCTAAGAATTGTATGGGACACGTATGTATGGACCAGTGAGAGGTGGTGTGGGGGAGGCAGGAGAGGAAACTTAAGTCTTCCCCACAAAGACAATGGACTGACCTACAGTTAGGCTGCCCACGAGCCCACTAAACAGAGGGGAAAATCCTGCGGTCCAGCTCGTGGAGTGCCAAATTTTTTTCCCAGAAGTGGCACCATGTTAGTTGAATTTTACAGTGTGTTAATCAAAAATATGCCACAATTTTGCAACAGTGTAATGGAGATGTAGTAAAGGAACACATGTTATTTAACAGTCTACTGTATTTATTAAATATTGCCATGTCTTTTTTTTGTCTTTGTAAGTAGTATTGTCTTTTTTTTTAAGTACCAGTAGTAGTATTGTGATCATTGTTGCCTTAAAATCATTGCCTTTACAAAAGAAATTTGTCTTTCAGGGTATAGGCCTTGATGAGCGAAGAGTAAATCTTCTGAAACGTATGAGCCAGGAGCATGAGGCCGAAGTTGGAAATGGAGTAGGCAACATTAGTATTGGTGGGGAAAGAGGTGGAAGTGGAGGTAGTAGTGGGAGTGGTAGTGGAGGTGGTGGTGGGGGTGGTGGTGGTGGTAATGGGAGTGGTGGTGGTGGTGGTAGTAGTGGAGGTGGAAGTAGCAGCAGTGGAAATGGAGGAAGCCATGAACCACCCTCAAAAATGGCACGACATGAACCAGAAGAACAAGAGTCTACCCAGCTCCCACATGGCTCCATTTTTGTCAACACTCCGGAAAAAATTTCTGCTAATTCCTCCATGCAAAATGTCCTTACTCCTATTCCACACGAACTGACTGTCAACTCACGGCAAGAACTGCGTAAGTTATTTTGTTAATTTTTAAATGTTAACTTTTTTTTTTTAACACTAGCAATCTCCCGCTGAGGAAAGGCCCTTCCCCAAAATGAGGAAACATTTTTACTATTGATCAGTCAATCATTGTTATGCCAGAAGTGTGATGACATCACAGTTCAGATGGCCCTCTGAATTGCAAACATCCTCGGTCCTCCTTCAGAGTGCAGGCACTTCACTACCCACCTCCATCCTTCTTTCAGAGTAAAGGCACTGTGTTTCACACCTCCAAGACTCAAGTCCAGCTAACTTGTTTCCCTGAATCTATTCATAAATGTTAATCTTGCTCATACTCCAACAGCACAGCACATCAAGTGATAAAAACCACTTGCTTCCACTTCTTCACATAAGCCTGTTGGATGCCCAAGTCACTAGCACTCAAAACCTCTTTTACCCCCTCCCTTCATCCTTTCCTAGGATGACCCATATCCCTGCCCCATCCTAATTTATATGCCCTCCTAGTCATCCTATTTTTCTGTATCTTCTCTAAATGTTCACACCACCTGAATAATCTCTTCTCAGCCCTCTGAATAATACTTTTGATAACTCCACACCTCCTAATCTCCAAACTTTGAATTCTCTGTGTTACATTGACACCACACATTGCTTTTAAAAAGGCTTATTTTCTTATACTTCTTTCACTTTTCCTAATCTGCTTTTACCATATACAAAGGCATGTTCTGTGCCAATCCCTAGGTACCCTCTCCTTTGTCATTCATTTTTTTTTTTAACACCGGTCATCTCCCACCGAGGTAAAGTGATCCAAGAAAAGAACATTTTCACCATCACTCGCTCCATTGCTGTCTCGCCAGAGGCACACTGATGCTACAGTTGAGATGTCCCTCCAAGCTGCAATATCCCCACTCCTCCTTCAGAGTGCAAGGGTGGGGATTATGCAGTTTGAAGAGCATCTGAAATGCAGTATCAGCATGCCTCTGGCTAAACATTGATAAGATTAAGGGATGGTGAAAGTGTTTCTTCTTACTTGGGTTGCCTTTCCTCAGAGGGAATGGCTGGTGTGTTTCTACCTGCTTTTAACATTTTTGTATTGAGCCCATCTATCCCAGCTGCTTTACCCCCTTTTATTCAAGCTACTGCCTCATGCACGTCCTCAATCTCACATCTGGCTCTTCCTCACTCCTACAAAATGATATACCTCCATGCCTAATGCATAAAATCACTGCCTTATGTAATTCTGCTTAAAGAGTAATCTTGCTTATTATACAGATTACATTCTGTAGAATGATTTATCTTTTTTTCCCTTTCTCCTTCTTTGCTACTGCTTTCTTTCATTGTCCTTGCCAGAGAGGAGGTAGGGATCAGGGAATTGGTGAGGGGGAAAGGATGGGTTGAGTTAATTTACACCATTACTGATTCCTTTTAAAACATTCCTGTATTTTTTCCCCTGAAGATTTTAAAAGCTATTGACAGAGCTTTAAAAATTAATGAAGTCTTTATGAGTTTCTTAAACTAAAGACATGCTACAGAAGCCTGATGGTGAGAATAATGTATTAGTCTCACGCTTAGCAAATGGAGGTTCAAGCCTCCACCAATCCTTGTGTTGACTGACCCAAACTAGTTTAGTGATTCACACTGTTACTTCTTTCCTTTCGTTTCAACACACCGGCCATATCCCACAGAGGCAAGGTGACCTGAAAGTTTTTCTTTTTACATTTAGTAATTTATACAGAAGGGGTTAACAGTGTTACTATAATAATTAAGAAAAATTGAGAAAACAAAAGAGTGGAGGTTTGACCTTGCAGGGCTGAACCGAGTTTGAGGTTGTAATATTGCTACCTCTTTCAAGTTGACTGAGTTGTAATGTATTTGAAATCTGTGTTTTACACTAAGAATTATCTAATTGACTTTTTTTTTTTACAGCTGACTTCCTGAAATCTTTCACCATTTTTAAGTTAAATGACTACTTGGGATTCCGCACCCGGCAGCAGTTTTGGGAAGAACCTGCTGTCCGACGCATTCTCGAGGGAATTAAGAACAAGGAAATAGACATGAAGAGTGCTGCCGAACTTCTGGGTGTGTCATACGGAACTCTGTATGGAAGATATCGTGAGGTATTTGGTTACCTCAAGCATGCATGGGTAAGTAGATTGAATAACTATAAATTTCCTGTCTGTAATATAATTCAAGGAACTGAGTGCAAGGCTTGGTTGAAGTTCACCACCTACTTTTGCATCTTATACAAATAACCCACACATAGGAGAGAGAAGCTTATGATGACGTTTTGGTCCAACTTGGACCAAAATGTCATCATATGGTTTTCTCTCCTATGTGTGGGTTATTTGTGTATTGTTCAAGTCACAGTATGATTGATACAGATGAAGATTCCACTGAATTTCAGGAGGATTTAGACAAGCTAATGTCATGATCAGAAAAGTGGCAGATGCACTTCAATGTAGATAAATGCAGAGACTTAAAGCTCAAGACTGTAAATAACCCTAGCACTCAAACTAAATACAGTGGACCCCCCGGTTTACGATATTTCATTCCAGAAGTACGTTCAGGTGCCAGTACTGACCGAATTTGTTCCCATAAGGAATATTGTGAATTAGATTAGTCCATTTCAGACCCCCAAACATACACATACAAACGCACTTACATAAATACACTTACATAATTAGTCGCATTGGGAGCTGATCGTAAAGCGGGGGTCCACTGTAATATAGAGCTTGGCCATATAGGATGTGAAAAAGGATTTGTGAGTTATGATAAGCAGAAACCTGAAGCCAAGACAGCAGTGCCTGTGCTTGCATAATATGGCTAGCAAATTACCGAGATTTATATCAAGAAGTATAAGGAACAGGAGTCCAGAGGTTATGCTACAGTTCTACACATCATTAGTAAGGCCTCACTTAGGTTATGCAGCTCATTTCTTGTCTCCATACTATGGAATGGATATAAATTCATTGGAGAATGTACAGAGAAGAATGACAACTAATCCACTACATAAGAAATCTTTCATACAAAAATAAATTGAGAGCCCTTAACCTACATTCTCTTTTAAAACAGAGTATGAACAGAGACAAGATTGAAGTGTATAAATGGAAGAGGGGCATAAATAAAGGAGATGTAAATAAGGCTCTGAGGATATCCCTTCAAGAAAAAACTTAAAATAATGTATTCAAATTGGATAAGTTTAGGTTTAAAGAGGATGTAAGAAAGTATTAGTTGGGAAGGAGAGTAGTTAATGACTGGAACAATGTGCCTGTTAGAGTCGGTTAGGCTTAAGCATGAGTAGCTTCAGATATAGGTTGGACTTGAGTCCTGGAGGTAGGAAGTACAATGCCTGCACTTTAAAGGAGGGGGTTCGAAATATTGGCTGTTTGGAGTGATGACGTCTAAACTGTCATATCTGAGCACCTCTGTAAGGACAGTGATTATGTGTGAATGATGGTGAAAATGCTTCTTTCTTTTTTGGGTCATCTTGCCTCGCTGCGAGACAGCCGACATGTTGAAAAAAAAAAATACATGAGTGACAGAGGTTGGATTTGAGTGGAACTTGTACAGCATGAGTTAGGATTTTTTTTTTTTTTAAAACACCGGCCATCTCCTACCAAAGCAGGGTGCCCCAAAAAAGAAGAAATGTTTTTTTCTTCTTTTTACATTTAGTAATTTATACAGGAGAAGGGGTTACCATCCTCTCTCTCCCTGCATTTTAGTTGCCTCTTACGACACGCATGGCTTACAGAGGAAGGATTCTCCTCCACTTCTCAATGGAGTTAATAGGGTTATCAAGGCTTATTCTTTGGGTAACATTGAGAATGGGTTTGGCAAATATTTTTGCTAGATGGTTTGGGTTTCAGAAAGACTTGTCTAAAATGGGCCGGTAGCCCTGCTGCAGGTTCCTCCGTTCTTATATTCTTATAGTACTCACATGAACTATAGCACTCTGGAGGAATACTAGTCATGCAGGAGATGGCAAGAAGAATAGGCAAGAATCTGTGAAAGTATTGAAGAAAATTAATTTTTGATAGGAGGTGGGCATACTGCCCACACCAGAGTGGTGAGGGAGCTGTTACCTTCTGGCTTTTAAAAGCTCTGGTATTTCAAACAAACACTCACCTTTGTTGTTTTGTCAGACCATTCTACAGAGTGAACATTCTTATTAGGCTCCCTGGCCAGTGGAATACAGGAGACAGTCGCTCCATAACACCCTCCATAACACCCGGGTAAATTTGTAGCTGGACATATTTACTTCCTCCACTGTGTTCAGATAATGTCATTTTTTCCCTGTTTTCTTTTATGTACCAGAAGGTTCATGTCATATTTGTACTTATTAAGGTTATGAGGATAACAAAAAGATTAGGTGATGAAAGATTGGATATCAGATTGGAAGGAGAGAGTATGGAGGAGGTGAATGTATTCAGATATTTAGGAGTGGACGTGTCAGCGGATGGGGCTATGAAAGATGAGGTGAATCATAGAATTGATGAGGGGAAAAGGGTGAGCGGTGCACTTAGGAGTCTGTGGAGACAAAGAACTTTGTCCTTGGAGGCAAAGAGGGGAATGTATGAGAGTATAGTTTTACCAACACTCTTATATGGGTGTGAAGCATGGGTGATGAATGTTGCAGTGAGGAGAAGGCTGGAGGCAGTGGAGATGTCATGTCTGAGGGTAATGTGTGGTGTGAATATAATGCAGAGAATTCGTAGTTTGGAAGTTAGGAGGAGGTGCGGGATTGCCAAAACTGTTGTCCAGAGGGCTGAGGAAGGGTTGTTGAGGTGGTTCCGACATGTAGAGAGAATGGAGCGAAACAGAATGACTTCAAGAGTGTATCAGTCTGTAGTGGAAGGAAGGCGGGGTAGGGGTCAGGCTAGGAAAGGTTGGAGGGAGGGGGTAAAGGAGGTTTTGTGTGCGAGGGGCTTGGACTTCCAGCGGGCATGTGTGAGCGTGTTTGATAGAAGTGAATGGAGACAAATGGTTTGAATACTTGACGTGCTGTTGGAGTGTGAGCAAAGTAACATTTATGAAGGGATTCAGGGAAACCGGCAGGCCGGACTTGAGTCCTGGAGATGGGAAGTACAGTGCCTGCACTCTGAAGGAGGGGTGTTAATGTTGCAGTTTAAAAGCTGTAGTGTAAAGCACCCTTCTGGCAAGACAGTGATGGAGTGAATGATGGTGAAAGTTTTTCTTTTTTGGGCCACCCTGCCTTGGTGAGAATCAGCCAGTGTGCTAATAAAAAAATAAAAAAAAATAATAAGGATTGTAAGTAATCACATTTTCAAACCGGTTGAGAGCTGATGATGGGGGCTTTACAGTATTGTGCCTCCTTACATCTGTTGGAAATACAAAAAAAAATTTACTCTGTAATTTATAGCTTGAGTTTTATTGTAAATGGCATTGCCACTTCCAGTAATTAAAAAGCATGTGATGAAATGACATATCCAGTTTTTAAATATAATATAATGTAGAGAAAAGCCCCATAGTTAAATTCTCTTGAGTACAAGTAGTTTAAATTCATTTCTTTTATAATTTAAGAATCTTGAAATGACTCCTGGATATATTTCCCTGTTTAAATCCAGAATCTAAGAAAATAAATTAAGATACGATTTTTTTTTTTTTCAACAAGTCGACCATCTCCCACTGAGGCAGGGTGACCCAAAAAAGAAAGAAAATCCCCAAAAAGAAAATACTTTCATCATCATTCAACACTTTCACCACACTCACACATTATCACTGTTTTTGCAGAGGTGCTCAGAATACAACAGTTTAGAAGCATACACATATAAAGATACACAACATATCCCTCCAAACTGCCAATATCCCAAACCCCTCCTTTAAAGTGCAGGCATTGTACTTCTCATTTCCAGGACTCGAGTCCGACTATATGAAAATAACCGGTTTCCCTGAATCCCTTCACTAAATATTACCCTGCTCACACTCTAACAGATCGTCAGGTCCCAAGTACCATTCGTCTCCATTCACTCCTATCTAACATGCTCACCCACGCTTGCTGGAAGTCCAACCCCCTTGCCCACAAAACCTCCTTTACCCTCTCTCTCCAACCCTTTCGAGGACGACCCCTACCCCGCCTTCCTTCCCCTATAGATTTATATGCTTTCCATGTCATTCTACTTTGATCCATTCTCTCTAAATGACCAAACCACCTCAACAACCCCTCTTCTGCCCTCTGACTAATACTTTTATTAACTCCACACCTTTTCCTAATTTCCACACTCCGAATTTTCTGCATAATATTTACACCACACATTGCCCTTAAACAGGACATCTCCACTGCCTCCAACCGTCTCCTCGCTGCTGCATTTACCACCCAAGCTTCACACCCATATAAGAGTGTTGGTACTACTATACTTTCATACATTCCCTTCATTGCCTCCATAGATAACGTTTTTTGACTCCACATATACCTCAACACACCACTCACCTTTTTTCCCTCATCAATTCTAAGATTAACCTCATCCTTCATAAATCCATCCGCCGACACGTCAACTCCCAAGTATCTGAAAACATTCACTTCTTCCATACTCCTCCTCCCCAATTTGATATCCAATTTCTCATTATCTAAATCATTTGATACCCTCATCACCTTACTCTTTTCTATGTTCACTTTCAACTTTCTTCCTTTACACACATTCCCAAACTCATCCACTAACCTTTGCAATTTTTCTTTAGAATCTCCCATAAGCACAGTATCATCAGCAAAAAGTAACTGTTTCAATTCCCATTTTGAATTTAATCCCACCCCTCTCCCGAACACCCTAGCATTTAGTTCCTTTACAACCCCATCTATAAATATATTAAACAACCATGGTGACATTACACATCCCTGTCTAAGACCTACTTTTACCGGGAAGTAGTCTCCCTCTCTTCTACACACCCTAACCTGAGCCTCACTATCCTCATAAGAACTCTTTACAGCATTTAATAACTTACCACCTATTCCATATACTTGCAACATCTGCCACATTGCTCCTCTATCCACTCTTATCATATGCCTTTTCTAAATCCATAAATGCAATAAAAACTTCCCTACCTTTATCTAAATACTGTTCACATATATGCTTCTATGTAAACACTTGATCTACACATCCCCTACCCACTCTGAAACCTCCTTGCTCATCCGCAATCCTACATTCTGTCTTACCTCTAATTCTTTCAATTATAACCCTACCATACACTTTTCCTGGTATACTCAGTAAACTTATTCCGCTATAATTTTTACAGTCTCTTTTGTCCCCTTTCCATTTATATAAAGGGACTATACATGCTCTCCGCCAATCCCTAGGTACCTTCCCCTCTTTCATACATTTATTAAACAAAAGTACCAACCACTCCAACACTATATCCCCCCCTGCTTTTAACATTTCTGTCATGATCCCATCAGTTCCAGCTGCTTTACCCCCTTTCATTCTACGTAATGCCTCACGTACCTCCCCCACACTTACATTCTGCTCTTCTTCACTCCTAAAAGATGGTATACCTCCCTGACCAGTGCATGAAATTACTGCCTCTCTTTCTTCCTTAACATTTAAAAGTTCCTCAAAATATTCTCGCCATCTACCTAATACCTCCATCTCCCCATCTACTAACTCCCCTACTTTGTTTTTAACTGACAAATCCATACTTTCCCTAGGCTTTCTTAACTTGTTTAACTCACTCCAAAATTTTTTTTTAGTTTCATTAAAATTTCTTGACAGTGCCTCTCCCACTCTATCATCTGCTCTCCTTTTGCACTCTCTCACCACTCTCTTTACCTTTCTTTTACTCTCCATATACTCTGCTTTTCTTATAACACTTCTGCTTTGTAAAAACCTCTCATAAGCTACCTTTTTCTCTTTTATCACACCCTTTACTTCATCATTCCACCAATCACTCTTCTTTCCTCCTGCCCCCACCCTCCTATAACCACAAACTTCTGCCCCACATTCTAATACTGCATTTTTAAAACTATTCCATCCCTCTTCAACCCCCCCACTACTCATCTTTGCACTAGCCCACCTTTCAGCCAATAGTCGCTTATATCTCACCCAAACTTCCTCCTCCCTTAGTTTATACACTTTCACCTCCCTCTTACTTGTTGTTGCCACCTTCCTCTTTTCCCATCTACCTTACTCTAACTGTAGCTACAACTAAATAATGATCCGATGTATCAGTTGCCCCTCTATAAACATGTACATCCTGGAGCCTACCCATCAACCTTTTATCCACCAATACATAATCTAATAAACTACTTTCATTACGTGCTACATCATACCTTGTATATTTATTTATCCTCTTTTTTCATAAAATATGTATTACTTATTACCAAATCTCTTTCTACACATGGTAGGAAAAGAGGGACTATAAATGTATTAATTCAAGGATTATGTGGAGTAAAATAAAGATTGGATGTGAAAAGTGGGTTATAATAAGCGTGTATGCACCTGGAGAAGGGAGAACTGTAGAGGAGAGAGAGAGATTTTGGGAAATGTTGAGTGAATGCGTGGGGAGTTTTGAATCAAGTGTGAGAGTAATGGTGGTTGGGGATTTCAGTGCTAAAGTGGGTAAAAATGTTATGGAGGGAGTAGTAGGTAAATTTGGGGTGCCAGGGGTAAATGTAAATGGGGAGCCTTTAATTGAGCTATGTGTAGAAAGAGATACGAATATAGATACTAAATAATCACTTGTAAGTGTTGCATAATCTTAAATGATACATATATATCATGATTTATGTACAGTAACAACTAGTGTGAAAAAAAGTACATTATTTTTTTAATTTAGTAATTAAATACAACAATTAGAACAGCAGAAAATTAAAGAAATTTCTCTGTTTGTTGATTGTCTGATTTTTGTTTTTAAGCTTTTGATGTGAACTCTTGTTGTAAGTCTTTGTTTCTTGCAGGTAAACAAACAAGGGCGTGCTGAGCGCTCTGCACTGAAGGAACGTTCCATGTGGGAGGAATCCCGAGCCCAGGAGTTGATCCAACGGGTTCTTAGCAAAGAGCTCTCTCTTACCGCAGCAGCAGTCAGACTTGGTGTAGATACCAACACCTTCTTTGCACATCTCACAGATCATGGCAAGAACAAGAGTCGTGTGGCTCTCCTCCTGGGTACAGACACTAACAACTCTGATAGCTCCTTCAATATGAATACAAATACCAATCACAGTGAAGATTCAAACTCTGCTAATGCATCCTCAGTTGATCTTGTGGGTGAAGATTCTAATCCTCCTGATAATGGTGGTGGGCAAGCAAGTGATGACAGCAACATGGAGAGCCTATCAGAAAATGCACAGATTGAATCAGAAGTTAATGGAGAAAAAGATGATGCCGAAGAACCTTTAATTATTGATGATGCTGCTGATAACCAAACCAGATCCACAGAGCAGCAAATTCTTGGACTACAGGAAATGAGTACAGATGAAGGGGTAGAGGGGCAAATGGTGGAGGACCAACAGGAAACCACCCAGCAGTCCATGGAAACCTTCCAGTCCATAGTTGAGGATGATTCCAACAATTTGTATGCTGATGCCTCGTAAATTATGCACTGAAGTATTTTGCCTTCAGACTCAAAGCAACCTGGCACAAATATCTTTATAGTTTATTCTTGATTTAAAGTGTTTTAAGTGTGAGCTTTAAGGTCAAATGTGGTTATAGAGCAAATACAGCTCAACTATTTAAAACCTGAAATTGTGTTGGAAGGATTAAAGTAGCTTCCTCAACATCATACTTAAAGATGTGTAAATCTGAGGGCTATTGGATATCTGTGTTGGAATTCTGCATGACAAAAGGCATTTGTTAACCAAAAGTTATACAGAAGGAATGAGAGGATGTGAGCAAAAGTGTGTTTTTTATTAGATGTGTTGCTACTAGTTTGTTGAGTGTTTATCAAAGTGTTTGACTGTTGGAAAGTACTTTAGAATAGATTAATGCAAAGTTTATGTGTTGTTTATTAAGGTAGGGCTCAAAATGTGACTAGATAAAGCTCAGAGGCATTATCCTCACGCCATAGAGTTTGTTATGGTACAAGTAATGGTACAAGGCTAGACGATTTTTGAATGGATTTTATGTTTAATCTGATAAAACAAAACTAGTTTTACAAGAGAGACCTAGATAGAAACTTGGTCCTGTCTTTTACCATCAAAGTAAGTTGATGAAATATGTTAATAAAGGTAGAGTCAGGCCAAATTATAGTTTTACAGTTCTAACTGGGTAATTCAACTGAAGATGTGTTGAAGTGCCATGAGTTTCATTACCAGGTCATAGTGTATAAAGTGATGGTCATTGATGTGCAATTTAATTGTGATTCTGTGAGAAGCTTGTGGAATGACACAGTATTTGACCTGATTCTGTAATCATGTTATTTTCATTCATTTTATATATATATATATATATATTTATGAAAACTTCTTGCAAAGAACTGGCTTTGAACTCTCTTTGGAGTCTTTATGCACTAGAAAGAGTATTTCACAACACCAATATGCTATTTCTTCATCATTTTGTGCTTATTTTACATGAATTCTGCACTTTAAGTGATGCTGCTAGCATTGAGCAGCTAATGCAACATGCCTTTGACAGTTAGGTCAAAGATTGTGGCAATTTTAACTTAATATACGAACCCCAAAGATTCGCCTAGAGGATGAATGTCCTAACGGGCCATGTAATGGTTCGTGCCTTATATAAGGAAGCCAATTATTATTATATTAATGGAAGGAATTTTTATACCAGTGTTTACTATAGCTGGTAACTATAATAGGATATTTTTCAAACTTTTAGAATGTAAAGTATAATGTGGTAGATAGCAAACATGAGAGAGAGAGAAAAGCGATGTGTCTTGTTTTTTAGTAATTTAGTGTTTAATAGTACCTTCATGGTTCTTTGCTGTTGAGAGGTTCAAACATAAATATACCCATCCAAATTATTCTTGACAATGGCATTTATTCTTCCTTATTGATTGACAAGACTGCTATTAAGCTGTTAACCAAATTTTTTCTACGCTTGGTTCAGCAAGTTACTGAGCTTGTAAATTTTTTCCTCCCTTCATTTATATTCAGAAATCTGTAGTATTCATGCAGGTTCCTGTTATTCTAGCGCATAGAGTATGGAAAGGCATCAGTGAGGGCAGTTATTTGGGGCTATTTACCATGGACCAAGTTCTCTTTGTTACGTCAAGGAAAGTGGCCACCATGGTAAATGTAGCTTTTGTAAAAATTCAAGTTTACCATATGTTCTGAATAGCATATTTTTACTGGGAATTAAGTGTTTTACTGGTCCCATAGTTTAAGACTTACCAAGCATGGGGTTGCATATATGCACTGTGTTTGTAGTTGTACAGTCATCCTTGTTGTTTCTATGTTGACTTGTATTGTTACCACTTTGCTACTTGAGCTCATGAGACCAAGAAATCTTTTTAATTCTTCATTTAGACATTTTTGCTGCTGCTGCTGCTGTCAGTGTAGCTGACATTCCAAGGCAAGGGGTATTTATGCTTTCTTTGAAGACTTCAGTCCTTCAAGGGGGAAGGAGGTGCCTGGATGTTGGTGAAGGGTTCGTGATTCAAGAAATTGGAACTATCTTCCCCTTCCTTGGATCAAACCTGATTACCTCCCATTCCCCAGGCACTGTATAACCCCTATGGGTTTAGTGTTTCCCCATGAATATATTAATCATAATTTGATGGCTTGGATCAAGTCTTAACATTGGTCATGGGGCAATATTGGCCATATTAAAAGACTTCACAGAGAAATGTAAGAATGCCTATGTCGGATATATTGCAGTTGGCAGAAGAAATACATAATGATGCTGTGCTAATCAGTTAGTTGATAAAACATAAGGGGTTTTATTCTATTGTGTCTCATAATATTAACTAACAATTCAGTAATAATGAATTTCATTTAAAACTGTTAGGTTCTACAATTCTGCCTTAAAAGTTCTTGTTCATCATGTTCCTGTATTATATTTAAAATTGATTTAATATTATATACTGTATATATATATATATATATCACTCACACGGTGTGTGTGTGTGTGTGTGCATATTTCCATGCCTGAGTTATGTTTTGTATACTAGTTCAAGGACGACCATTTATGCAAAAGGAAATTTCGTTGGTTATGACTATATATATATCATTAAAGTGTAATTTTAAACCCCAGCATTTCTTAATTCCAAAGAAATAAAAATTGAATATGTATTTCCTTTTTTTTTTTGTAGTATTAGAGTAGTTTGGTTTAATTGCTCATTATAAATAGCTTGTTTGATGCTAGATGCATTCTTTGGAGTAGAGTTATTGTAAATGATTATTGGTATGAACTGAAAGTGTGATGCTTTGCAGGTGGATTAATCAATAACAAACCCAGGAGTTGGTAAACCGAGTGCTTGCTTGCGTTGGATTATTTTGTAATTAACCACTGGTATCCAGGGAAGTAAGGAAGAGCTTGTAGAAGGCTAGTCTGCTGTGAAGCAGACAACAAATTGTTTAGGAAGGCAAGCTCTTCAGTGTGTAAGTGTTCTGTGGATGGTGTACTGGTTGATGATATGTACAAGTACACTTGACCAGTTGTGTAAACTTTTTCAGCCCCAATGATTATTAAACTCTTGTACTTCTTTGTACTTTGTAGGTTCTAGTTAATGTTTGCAATTGTTTTGTATCCAGACTTTTCTCTCCATACTGAAAGGTTCGTTGTGATAGTTATGCCTGGTGCGTACAAATGGAAAATTTCTCTGCTATTTGAGCATGTTATGTGTTGTGTATAGGTTTCTTATTCAGAGTTTTGTTTTGTGTGTGATTCTGTATTAATGGAATTATTTACTGGTGCAGTGACATTGCCTGTCTTTGTGAACCAAGTACTTCTAAGTTTTTATAAAATTATATGAAGTATTCTTTCTAGCAATACTTACTGTAAACCATTTTAAGGAAAATATGAGAATGTTTAACCTTTTGTATCTTCTTTTTCTTCCTCAATCTGGCAATACAGATATAAATCAGGATTCAGTCTGTTATAATATTGTTTGTATGAATACACTTCATTATTAAGGAAATTTGGATGTTGACAAAGAAGCTGTCCATAATTTAGCCTTCAGTCAGTATTTTATTTACTCTCCGAAGTGGCCTTAAACCAGGCGTGTGAGATGCAAGACACACCAAAGCACGTTCCAGAAAACACAGCAACGAGCCTTCTCTCTCCTACTACATACTTCTGTAGTGATAAATGTAAGATGCTTCATTTAATGTGCGGCACAGACCACTCTTCATTTAGACCTAGCTATTTCCATAAGGCCTTGGAATTTATTTCTAAAGGAATATTTAAATAAGCTGTATGGAACATTCTAAGTCTAAAACCAGTGGTCTTGGTGAATATATATATATTTTTTTCTGTTATATGGTAAGTCAATGTTCATACACTTCAAAATGCCTTGTTCCTTAGGGTGCCTTAAAGCATATTGTATATTACTATTTTTTTTAACAAACTGGGACACCTTGAGGTAAACAATGGGTAATTAAGGCCTAATTAGCCATTAATGTATGTATAACATTTAATCACAAGATAGGAAGTGGATCACATAGTCACTAATTCTAACATTCTTAGGTAATTTTCAGATTTCTCAAATTTATCAACTGTGAACTCTCAACCAAAGTATTAATTTTAAATTTTCATGTACTAGCCTTATCAGTTAGTGTGGCAAGTATTATAAACTTCATTTCAGTGAATGTAGCTATGCATACACATGTACATGTGTGTTCGCACACACACATGCACATGTACATGCATGTGCACACGCACACATACGTACATATATTCAAAATACTCAGAGGAAGTGATAGGGTAGACAGACAGGCTGTTTGAGAGGTAAGAAACAGGCACTTGGGGACATGGAAGGTAAAGGCACAGATGAGCTATTGGGATGTCAGGGAATATTTCTTCAATCCCACAGTGGGTAGGAAGTGGAATGATCTTGAGATTGTAAAGGCAAGCTCCATATATTGTTTTAAGAGCAGGCACAATAGTGCCCGTGGGAGTAGGAGGAAGTGAATCTGGCAAGTTGAGGGGTGGGGCCAGGAGCTAGGACTCAAACCCTGAAACCACATATTGGTAATACACATCATCCTAATCTGCTCTGCCCTATTTAAATGCCCAGACCACCTCAACAACCCCACTGTCTTCTGCCCTCTACTTAATACCTCTCATAATTCCAACACCATATTTGCATAGTGTTCACACCACACATTGCTCTTAAACATGTCTACACTTCCTTGATCCTTTTCATTGCAAAGTTTAATGCCCATTCCTTATGCCTATATAAAAGTGCTGGTGCCACTATGGTACAGTACATTCCTATTTTTTCTTCTTCCTCCATAAATATACTTTTCTCCACAGATGCCTTAACACTCCACCAACCTTTTCCCATTCATCTATTCTAGGGTTCACTTCATCTTTCATAGACCTATTAGCAGACAGATCAACCCCCAAATATCTAAATACATTCACTTCATCCATACTTCCTCCTTCCCATCTAATACCCAATTTTTTATTGCTTCAACTTTTTGTTAATCTCATACCTTGCTCTTTTCTGTGTTTACTTTTAATTTTCTTCTTTTGCACACCCAAACTTATCCACGAACTTTTGTAACTTCTCTTCAGAATTTTCCCAAAGAACTATGTCAGTGGGAAAGATCAAGTATGACAACTACTGCTTCAAATCAGATTCATTATCATTTAATCCCATACCTCTCCCAACACCCTAGCATTACTTCTTTTACAATCCCATCTACAACCAGGGTGACATCATACAACTCTGCCTAAGGCCTGCTTATATTGAAAAATTATCCCCTTCTCTCCTATACCCTAACCTTAGCCTCACTCTCCTCATGCAGTTACTGCTTTTAGCAATGTACTACATTATCCAATCATTTGCAACATCTGCCACACTATGCCTTTTATAAATCCATAAGTGTGACACTCTCTCTCTTACCCTTATCTAAGTTTTTTTTTTTTTTTTTCAACAAGTCGGTCGTCTCCCACCGAGGCAGGGTGACCCAAAAAAGAAAGAAAATCCCCAAAAAGAAAATACTTTCATCATCATTCAACACTTTCACCACACTCACACATTATCACTGCTTTTGCAGAGGTGCTCAGAATACAACAGTTTAGAAGCATATACGTATAAAGATACACAACATATCCCTCCAAACTGCCAATATCCCAAACCCCTCCTTTAAAGTGCAGGCATTGTACTTCCCATTTCCAGGACTCAAGTCCGACTATATGAAAATAACCGGTTTCCCTGAATCCCTTCACTAAATATTACCCTGCTCACACTCCAACAGATCGTCAGGTCCCAAGTATCATTCGTCTCCATTCACTCCTATCTAACACGCTCATGCACGCTTGCTGGAAGTCCAAGCCCCTCGCCCACAAAACCTCCTTTACCCCCTCTTTCCAACCCTTTCGAGGACGACCCCTACCCCTCTTTCCTTCCCCTATAGATTTATATGCTTTCCATGTCATTCTACTTTGATCCATTCTCTCTAAATGACCAAACCACCTCAACAACCCCTCTTCTGCCCTCTGACTAATGCTTTTATTAACTCCACACCTTCTCCTAATTTCCACACTCCGAATTTTCTGCATAATATTTACACCACACATTGCCCTTAGACAGGACATCTCCACTGCCTCCAACCGTCTCCTCGCTGCTGCATTTACCACCCAAGCTTCACATCCATATAAGAGTGTTGGTACTACTATACTTTCATACATTCCCTTCTTTGCCTCCATAGATAACGTTTTTTTGACTCCACATATACCTCAACGCACCACTCACCTTTTTTCCCTCATCAATTCTATGATTAACCTCATCCTTCATAAATCCATCCGCCGACACGTCAACTCCCAAGTATCTGAAAACATTCACTTCTTCCATACTCCTCCTCCCCAATTTGATATCCATTTTTTCTTTATCTAAATCATTTGATACCCTCATCACCTTACTCTTTTCTATGTTCACTTTCAACTTTCTACCTTTACACACATTCTCAAACTCGTCCACTAACCTTTGCAATTTTTCTTTAGAATCTCCCATAAGCACAGTATCATCAGCAAAAAGTAACTGTGTCAATTCCCATTTTGAATTTGATTCCCCATAATTTAATCCCACCCCTCTCCCGAACACCCTAGCATTTACTTCCTTTACAACCCCATCTATAAATATATTAAACAACCATGGTGACATTACACATCCCTGTCTAAGACCTACTTTTACCGGGAAGTATTCTCCCTCTCTTCTACACACCCTAACCTGAGCCTCACTCTCCTCATAAAAGCTTATCTAAGTATTGTTAATAATTAATCTACACATTCCCTACCTTTCCCAAAGCCTTATTTTTGCTCTGCAATCTTACTTTCCATGTTACCCCTAAGTCATCCAATATTATTATTGTACACTTCGCTCGGTATACTCAACACTCTTATTACCCTATACTTCTTATGCTGTCTTGTCCCCTTTTCTCTTATATGAAGGAACCATGCATGCTCTCTGCTAATCTTTAGTTAACTTTCATGCTTATATTTAATAAATACACCAAGCACTCACTCAGTGTCTCCCTATCCCTTTAATAATCTCAGTCTTATTCCCTTCTTTCCAAGTTGCTTTCTTCCCCTTTCATTCATATGATGGTCATCTCCCACTAAAGTACTGCAACCCAAAAAAAAAGTAAAAATATACAGATATACATACACACAAAGATATATACTGTATAAAGGAATAACCCCAAGATTAAGAAAATAGTGTAGCTATATTTGGTCTAGCAAGAGGCCCTCTTGTCTGAAGAGGGTTGTCTTTAGCTAGACTGAAAATATGTACTATTTTCTTATTGATCAATACAGGTCATTCCTATTGATTATCCATATGGTCAGTGTATGTTTTTTTTTCAAGTCTATGCATACATACATGCGTACATACATTCACACATACATTCACAAACACATGCTATATTTAATAAGCCAAGTCAGTCATACAAGCTGATCTTTATTCAAAGTTATTGTTTTAATATGGTTTATTCCATGGTATGTAATGAATATTAATGTGAATAAACAGTATGGAACTTTTGCACTAGAACTAATTTGCTATCCCAGAGTTATATTTATTTTTGCTATAATGCAGCAAAAAACAAAAACACTCGAGTATTACTAAAATTATTGTATTTCTTAGACAGGGAATAAAACTAAAATTAGACTGACCTTAAATTGGTTATGATTTTTAAGCTATGCTGCATTATGTAAATTTTAGTAAAGTTAGACTGCCAAGTTGGCTTAGTGAAAAATTTGTATACCATTTTAATTTACATTTATAAGTTTTATTACCTAAGATAAATTTGTCTTAAAACTTACTTTTGGGCCATTTTGTATTGTTTGACTTAAATGGTTTATTAGGCACATTATATATTCTAAGAAAACTCATGGGTTTGCATGATCATGGGAATGTTTAAGTAACTACTTTGAGAAACAGGAACATGACAAGTAATGCTTTGACTCTTTCATTAGGCAAAAATAAAATTGTATTAATTGGGAAATGCTACTCATCAGGGTCATATGCATGGAGAACGGGAAACAGTCATGCTTGACTCAATAAAAAAGAAGGGTAGGTCCAGTTCGTTGTATCACGAGCCCTTAACCAGGATCAATCCCCTCCTCCCTCTTGAAGAGACAAATCACTTATGGATCCACTCAGCTCAGGTCAGAATCCAGCTTGGCCTGCGCTTGAGCCAGGGGCTGAGTAAACACCATACATATTGGGAGATCAGGAAAAGCACAAAATGGTTACATCTGCCATTTGAATTCCACACTGCGAAATTAATTAAAGATTGGCTTGTCACATTAAAATTGCATACAACTAGTTCAGAGCTCAAAAATCCCCAAGAGAGCCTCACACAATGTGTCAAATGCCTTGTCCCTGCCACTTAGTTCTGCAGGACCTATTTGGACTTAAGAGTTTTTTTGTGAATATAGGAACACATCAGTAAAATTACTCATGTGCCGATTTTGTAATCATTAGGTGAAATTAGTATTTTCAACCTAGCTATTACAGCATTATTGGTACTCATAGTTAAAGCAGATTGAGAATGGTTGTTTTCCAAGATACTCAAAGCTACAACATCCCTAATGTTGTGATAGGTGCGATTTCTCTCTATCTTAGGATCTGGATTAGCCATGTGCTGATGCCATTTTTTATTAACATCATAGTGGGAGGCATTCAAAGTGCAGATGTAGTGTTTAAACTGAAAAAAAAAATATACCATAATGAAGCTGTTTTTTAACCTGATGGAAGAGTCAATGAAAATATAAAAAAGCTTAGGTTCTGCTGTCCTGTTTCCTCAAGTTATTATTTATATATACCTGTATAAATGCATGCATCCATTTATATTTATATATATATATATTATATATATATATATATATATATATATATTATATTATATATATATATAAATTACTTTGATTGCTTGTATGTACATTATAAAATTATTAGATTGGTATTTTTATGTTTTACCAATGTTTTAGGAGTACAGTATTCAGTATTTTGTAACACTGCTTTGACTAATTTTTTTTTTTTACCACTTATGTGGCTTTAATGGTATGTGTTGAGTTACAGTATTCTGACAGCTAAACAAATGGTCTGATCAAGCTCATTGAATCTTGTGTTGGTTTTTTATTTTATTTTTTATTTTTCGGCAACAATGTGGTGTGACGTAGAGTGAAAGATTAAAAATCGAACATGGAACATTTGACATTGGGTAGTGCAACTTACAACCACTTTGATTTATTTGTTAGATAAGTAATTACGTCATGATGTGCGTAAGTAGTCATTACTTTGACAGGGTACGGCGTGTACGGTCAAGCTGTCTTAAACTCCACCCTCTAACAGTGTAAAAAAGATTAAATCATTTTAATGAGAGTTGTAGCACGAGTAGTATTAAGCCTTTACACCTCAATGTTTACCAAGCCAGTCAGTGTTATCCAGTTAATTGCTCTTAAATTATGGTGTTTCATGTTCGTTTTTTGTGTTTTGACCCTATGAGAAACTGAAACCCTGTATATATATTTTTCTGTGTAACAACCCACTATCATCTATGGGTATAAGGGTCATGTATGTTTATCTTTAGGTTCTTTTGTCAATAATATGTATGCATATAAATATAATAAAATTATAATGAAATTCAGTTTATTAATAAAAACCATAACCTTTCACAAAGATTTTCATAGCCATGTTCTAAGTCTGACCTTGTTATCCTATCTTAACTTCAAGGGAGGTTCCCTTGACTTTTGCTTTCTTGGATCAGACCTAATTGCTTCCCATTGCCCCAGGCTCTGAACCCTATCGGTTTAGCACTCCCCACCCCCCCAGCATGAATATAATAAAGTAAGTAACCTCTCCGTCCATCTCCAGTATGACCTGCAGTCACACACTGGCAAGGACTTTACCCTTCCACACCTTCCCCCCTTCCACCCTTCCTTTTCCCCCATAGCTAACTACAGTAAACCCTCAATTTAACATATTAATAAAAGACGAGAGGGGAGTCATTTAAACTTGAATTCTGGAAATATTTTTTCGTGATTGTAACTAATGGATAATTATCCATTATTATTGCAGCCTGCAATAATAATGGATAATTCTGGAGTTAACAGACTTTATGCATTGTCATAAAAAAATGACATTACTGATTTAACAGGTCTATTAAATCTTCAATAAATTTACCCTGCAGACGACAAGAATAAGGGATAACTATGAAATTAAGACACTCCGTTGCTTATAAGAGTTGTCCACTCGGATTTTGTCCGTTAAATCCAAAATATGTTAAATTGAAGCTTTACTGCATGTGGAGTTTACTGTGGCTGGTTACCCTACCAACAATGACTTTCTCTTCCCTTCAAAGGGGGTTAGTACCTTGGTGACGATTTTAAATCCAAGGAACTAGAGCTACATTCTCCCCTCCATTCAAATCAGATTATCTCCCATTTTCAAGGTACTGTATGACAAGTATAAGGTGTGGGGCTCTTTATCCAAGAAAATAGGTCTACTCTACTTAGATTGAACCTGATTACTAAGAATTTCCAATCAATAATTATTTCCATTTTTGCTTCACTGAATGACTACCACTTAAATTTAATACTTTTTGTGAATAGAAATGCTCATACCCTTGAGTAAGATGCCTGCTCTCTCTTTTCACCTAGCAGCCCCCTCAAGGAAGGCTCCTTGACGCTGGTGAGGGGCTCTTGATCTAGGGAATTGGATCTGTGCTCCAGTTCCCTGAATTAAGCCTGAATGCCTTCCATCCCCCCATAGGCGCTGTATAATCCTACGGGTTTAGTGCTTCCCCCTTGATTATAATAATAATAATAATTCACCTAGCAGTAAGTAGGTACCTGGGTGTTAGTTGACTGGTGTGGGTCACATCCTGGGATAATATTAACCTATGTTGCCTGAAATGCTTTCATAATAAAGGGCATTCTGTATAATGTTACTGATGTCAGCTATGGTCTGTACAAGTTGTATCATGTACTTGTAGAAATAAAGATTATTAGTATTATTATTTGTCAGAAAACAGGACAAGTGTTTCCCGATTGACCTGCAGCTGGAGCATTTGGTCATCTGACCGAGGCCTTTCACTGGCTTACCAGTGTTATAACCATTTTTCTAGGGTTAGATATAGGTGTGGGGTTTTTTAAACAAGTCCCCTCAAGGAAGGTTCCTTGATGTTGGTGAGGGGCTCTTGATTTAGGGAATTGGATCTGTGCTCCAGTTCCCCAAATTAAGCCTGAATGCCTTCCACATCCCCCCCCCCCCAGGCGCTGTATAATCCTCCGGGTTTAGCGCTTCCCCCTTGATTGTAATAATAATAATTTTTAAACAAGTAATGGCCTTCCCTTCCCTTGGATCAAATCTGATTATCATTTCCCCAAAGGCTGCTTAACCCCTAAGGATTTAGTTCTCTTCCATGAATATAATATTAATTTGTTCTTTGAAGATGTTCTAAGTGTTATTAATTCAGGATACCCTAACACTAAATAATGACTTATTCTGGCATACTTTCCTCTGGTACTGAATGATTTAGAAGGGTTTGTTGAATTGGTTTATGAATATATTATAATAACAGGGTTGAGGTGGTTTGAGCATGTAGATTATTATTACATTCATGGAGCACTAATCCCACAGGGGTCATACAGTGCCTCGGAATGGGAGACACTCAGGCTTGATTCCCTCAAGGGAGGTTCCTTAGATGCTGGTGAGGGGCTCTTGGTCTAGGAAATTGGATCTCTGCTCCAATTCTCTGAATTAGGCCTGAATGCCTTCCATTCCCCCTTCCCCTCAAGGAAGGTTCCTTGATGTTGGTGAGGGGCTCTTGATTTAGGGAATTGGATCTGTGCTCCAGTTCCCCGAATTAAGCCTGAATGCCTTCCACATCCCCCCCCCCAGGCGCTGTATAATCCTCCGGGTTTAGCGCTTCCCCCTTGATTATAATAATAATAATCCATTCCCCCCTTCCTCCCCACAGTTGCTGTATAATCCCTATGGGTTTAGCGCTCCCCTAAGGTAAAAGCATATTTCAGGCTTGGTTCAAGAAATTAAAGAACTGGTCAGTTCCTTAGATCAAGATCCCCTCACTAACATCAAGGAACCTTTGAGGGGTTGAACATGCAGAGAGGTGAAGAGTGAGGGTAGGGATTGCCCCAGTAATGGCTGGTGGGAGGGAGTCAAAACTTTTAAAGCTTGAGCACCCAACAGGCTTGTGTTAGTGTGTTAGGAGTGCAACGGAGACAATTGGTTTTTAATGGATGTGTTAAAAACAAGTAAGTATAATCAAAGTAACTTACATGAAGGGATATGAAAAAGACCTGGAAAGCCCTATCTGAAATTCTAGGAACTAAAAAGATATCCAAAAACAAAACAATCAAATTAACAAAATCAGACAAACCCCTACTCCCACCAACTTAAACAGCAGACAGACTCAATGTTTTCTTCTCCACCATAGGAAAGAATCTAGTGAGCAAAATCCCAAGCTCAGACACCCGTCCAGACTATTCCTAGCTCCAACTAACCCAACATAAGACTCGTTCATCATCAACACCCTTAAAAACAAGGCAAGAGACATAAACAACTTGCCAACTTTCATGTATAAAATAACCTCACAAGTACTGTCACCAATTACTGCAACACTTTTTAACAAATCCATTGAATCCTCCACCTTCCCAGAAATTCTCAGAATA